ATGGCCAGAGAGTCTCTGCAATCAGTCACTAAAGCAACTGATTTCAGTGATTAACTTAACTTTAATGAAGAGATGAAGTAATCAGTGAAATGAGCTGCAGTGATGTCAAGATGGATGAGAACCTATAGATGATGGGTCACACTGCAACACAGCAGGATCGTGAGTGTACACGAAACACCCATCGAAAGCATGTCTGCTACACACAAACAAGCTCATCTAAATTTTCTTATTTAGAGGCAGTTATTACAGGCAGCTGAAGATGAGGGGTTGTTTCTCTAAAGAAAGTGCAAAAATGGGCATTGGCTTTGGTAAGGGAAGTGCCTGCTCTGTGAGATTTTGGTTAAATCCTAAAAAGATTTACGGCCTCATAAGTGAAGCCGTGTCAACACTGGAAGCAATGCACAGCAATGTGGTGACCAAATGCGCATAAAAATTTAATGACGTTTAGAGACATTCAAGTGGTTAGAGGTAAAAAAAAGAAAGAAAAAAAGCTGGTCCAATTGGCAATTACTTAGATAAACTTTTCATTACTACAAGAACAGGTAGTAGATACATTAGAGTTACAAATAGTGAGGACGTGGTCAGCTCTAAATCAGTGATAAGTATCTAGCACTGCTCACACTCCATAAAAAATAAAAGAAAATAATTTAAGAAAGCCAGAAGTCAGACGTTTTACCGAGTAATCTTATCAAGGACACCCATATTCATTTCACGTTCAGCAGCTTTCTCCATGACCAGTTCTCTGGTAGTTTAGTTTTCTTGCACAAAATCCTCTAAAACCCTTCTTTTCAATAACCAAATAGAATAAACATGTATACAGTAGCTTTAACAAGGCTATAAGGTGTGTTTAGGTTTTTGATTATTTTATTAGCACATATAATATGTGTTCTACTGCCAAAGAGCCATTCAGTCAACAAACATGGATAATTTCATTATTTTCATTATAATTTTCATTATTTTTCCAAATATGCAGAGAAAACTGGTACTGTCCACAAAGCATGTCAGATATCAAGACATTTGAACTATGCAAGTTCAAATTTCTGCATTGGTCATTAGCATCACATAAAAATGTACAACAAAAATAATTGACACACTTAGTCAAGCGATAGGCAATTTACAAAGAAACTCACACAAAATAGTAGATGGAGCTAAATAAGCTAAATAGAGACAGATTCACTGTTTTAACAGCCATCATCTGCTAGCTAGTTATCTAAAATTGCAGTTTTCCACAAAGCTTAAAAGTCCACTTTTAAGCTTTTTTTTTTTTTTAATTCACTTTTGTGTTAATAGCTTGTGATGTATGTTACTGCTTGTTCTGGTGCTAGCACAGCAAGATCTATATCATCTAGATAAGACTAAATCAGCTAGATAAAGATTTGCCATCTGATCATATCACCAAACCGGAATTTGCAGTGATTGCAGTCATAATTTACTCCTAAAATCTCTAAAAACTTAAAAACCACAGGCAGTTGTTCACATTTGAGATATGTGCAGACCTGTATGCAGAAAAGCAACAACCAAAAAAATGTACTTCCATATAGCTCAAAAATTTATTACAGGAGTATAATTAGCAGGAGAGATATAAGTATTAGACAGGCAAAGATACTAGCAGTGACAGCCCATCTTCTAAGGATTTGAACTTAATCCATTTTCTCTCAAAGTAGCTCTGCTTGCTTACACACCTCTTTGAAGTGTAAATTGAAAAAGAATTGGTTGCATAAACTTTCTACAGTGACAAGCTTGGAAAAAAAAAGTCTGTTCTCTTCTGCTGTGACACCCCCTATTTTGCTAAGAAACAAGGCCAAAGATTGGAAATATTATATAATAAACAAAAGGGGACTTAATTAGTTTGTGCAAAGACAGTCACAATTCCAAACAATATGTACACTGATTGTTATTTGTTGAATATGGGAGCTATTCATGCAAATGTAATAATCACTCAATGTAGGAGATTCCTGCAAACCAAACAGTAATTAATTCACACGAAGATATTTCCCCTGTCTAGTCAAGCAAAGCTGTTTAAATACGCTCCCCTTCCGCCATCATCTCCTTAGACTCCCCTTTTTCCTCGTACATCTTTCTCTGTCTTCAGAAGTCCTTTCATGTGTCTCTTTTGCTTTGTCTGCTCCCGTCTTAGTTTTGCCGGTTGCCGGTTCGAGCCCCGGCTTGGACAGTCTCGGTTGTTGTGTCCTTGGGCAAGACACTTCACCCGTTGCCTACTGGTGGTGGTCAGAGGGCCCGGTGGCGCCAGTGTCCGGCAGCCTCGCCTCTGTCAGTGCTCCCCAGGGTGGCTGTGGCTACAATGTAGCTTGCCATCACCAGTGTGTGAATGTGTGTGTGAATGGGTGGATGACTGGATATGTAAAGCGCTTTGGGGTCCTTAGGGACTAGTAAAGCGCTATATAAATACAGGCCATTTACCATTTAGTTTTGCTATCCCAGACTCAACATAAAGTCAGATAGCTTTTTTTCACAGTTTTCTGTGCCTTATAAAGTAAATAGTAAAAAAAGAATGATCAGACTCTAGGTTAAGCAAATATTGGAATATCCACTGAACCAAACTATAGATACCTAAAGTATCTATCTATTTGTAAAGAGTCCATAAATAACAGATTTTTATCATAACATATGATTGTGAATATAGAATCATTATCGTAATTGATGACGGAGATGACTGGAGTAACCCTAAATGCCATCAGTTTCAATGAATGGCAATATAAAACTACATACTACCCCCTTCAAAGTGTAGTAATGATCACATTTCACCTTTAACTGTGAAGCTTTTTCAATAATAGCCTTGAAGTTGTGGGTGTAAATGGGAAGGATTGTTGAAGTAAAATTATAGAGAAACAAGAGAAAATGATTAAGAATATTTGCTACAATAATTTATCATTTATTTGTGGCTAACCACATCTATTGGACTGGATCCAGGGAAAAGTCCTGATGTATTTGTAAATTTGAACCAGAGAAAGAGGGATGATGGCACAGGGGCCTGCTGTTTGTCTACACAAGTTTCTGTTGTTCTATGTTGAGGTCTGCTTTTATTCATACATATACTATTGATACAGGGGTATCTGTAAAATGGCCTGTATTTGTATAGCGCTTTACTTAGTCCCTATGGACCCCAAAGCACTTTACACTACATACAGCCATCCACCCATTCTCACACACACATTCACAGTCTCAGTCTCAGTCTTGCCCAAGGACACAACGACTGAGACTGTCGGAGCCGGTGGTCGAACTGCCAGCTCTTGAGCCGCAATTGCCCCATCTGTAGCTCAGGAGGTAAAGCATAATCTAATCAGAAGGTTGGTGGTTCAATCCATGGCTGCTCCAGTCTACATGCCAAATATCCTTGGGCAAGATACTAACCTCAACTTTCTCTCTGAGAAAGCACTTAAGCTTAGGTGGGAAAAAGTGCTGGTGTGAATGGGTGAATGTTGCATAAAGCGCTCTGGAAGAGTACAAAAGCACTATAAAGGAATCAATTCATTTACCACACATGCATCACTATTTCTAAAATTGCAATCATCATCATCATCATCATCATCATCTTTGTTTATAAAGCACTTTAAAACAACCACAGCTGATGCAAAGTGCTGTACATTGGAACTAAATAATAAAATCTGCATGAATTGTGTTTAGCTTTGCCACCTTTACCTTACCCTTGTAATATTTCATATAGATAATTTTTTCTGCCTTCTTTCTTTAGTATTAAACTGCATTCTGATTTTTTCCACAGCATCCCAACAAACTGTTTTTCCCATTATTAAAGAAAGCCTAAATATATCCTTAATGGAAACTGAGAGGAATTGATACGTGAGGGCTAGTTTTAGGGTTGTTTGTCACAACCCCCCCCCCCCCCCAAAAAAAAAAAAAAAACTGCCGCTAGTGCTACCTCTCATCTTTCTAGATGATCCAGTTAGGGTATGTCCTAGAAGACTTCCTTCTCTAGTGATCGGATTCCTTACCATGAGGTAATGGTACTTTTTTGACATTTTTATCAGATGCTATTACTAATATTACCAATTTGAAAATCCTGTGTGGTCCTGTTCTCGAGTTATTGTGTTCACAAAGCTGGGTGTCCATAATGTCTACAAAGACCATGACGTATGTACATTCTATTTTAGCACCATTTTTTAATGCAGACCACTCCTCTAATTTCATGCTTCACCTATCTAAAACATTAGTCATATGTGTTGATGTTCTTAGTTAAAATAAATGACAAACTCTTCCATGAAGGACTGACAGGAGCAACAAATAACCATTTAAATTCACTGATAACTGCGATGGAGAAAAACCTCATCATTCACACAGATGGTAGAGATGTAGTGTGTAAGTGTGTGTGTGGGTAGCTTTGGTGGTTATGGAAGGTTGGATGGGGGTGTTTCTGGCACCATGAAATATAAATGTGAGAAAATAAATTATAAAAAGCATGGAAAACTCAGAGAGAAACCATGGTGACATGATTGTTTCAGTTCAGTGGCAAAGCCTGTTATCTCACACAGACACATACACCCAGGCATCCTGTGATCCTTTGGCTTGGAGAAAACAACGTTCAGGTTGGAGGTTTGTATCAGTATTAGAAAAATAAATAAATTAAAAAAATAAAAAAAGATTTGTTACCTGCTACTTTTTTATCTCTCATTTTCTCCCCTTTCTCTCTTTCTGCTATCTCTGGATCTTTTCTTTCTTCTTTGGCTATAAATAGATCAGTGTCTGGCTAGAAGGTAACAAGTGAAAATAATAGTGAAGTTAGGGGCCCTCAGACGGGTAGACAGAGACTTCCTCTCTGTCCACCTGTGTTACTTCTTTTAAAAAAATCATTCGGCCCTACTCCATCATAGCCATATTGCTTTCCCTTTATGATAACACCATTGATAACGCAATTAGTCTGTACATAAACCTTACTGAGCTGAATAGTGTTTTTGAAAGAGTGGTTTCAAAGAAAAGCGTTTAATTCAAGAAGGGCAATGTAAATTTTGAAACTGGGGGCTTACTTTTGAAGGGCATCTATCTTGTCAGCGGTAATTCCTTTTAACAACTCCTCCAGCAGGTCGGAGCTGTCGGGTGGCAGAACAGGTGATTTGATAGTAGATGTGTGAGTAAACCAACCAATCAGGGCACCAAGGACAAAAAGAGCCACCCCTGCCAGGAAGTATCTACAAAGAAAAGAAGGGAGCAATCACATATTAATGTTAAAGTTATTCTATTATATAAGCAATCAAAGATGCTATTAAGATGTATTAGATATATTTGTATAATGTAATAATCAGTATCATCTGGCTTTAGCTAGGAATGTATATATCTTTTGATCTTGGCCTATCCCTGAGTCATACTGAAAAAAATCTGTTATGTTTACAAAATGTAAATACCTTAATTTCTAAAGACAACCAAAGCTTGCAGCTGCTTAAGGTGTTATCTGATGTTCACAGCCTATCTGATGCATATTTAGTTTTGGCTTTATATATTATTTATTATCCAGATAATTAGTTTACCCTTCTTAATCTATCTGAGACCTAGGTAAAGAACTGCTGTAGAATATCCATACACTAAATTGAGATCTACACCTACATACATGCCAATATAAAGTGGATTTTTTTTGTGTGATTATTTTTTTAAACACTGAGAATAACTTTTTGTTCATTAATAAACAAATTTAAAAAATCAGTGCTGACTATTTAACAACATTAAACAGCCTGTATTTTGCATATGCCGGACTCGATCAGTCCTGCAACCGAAGTCAGTCCTTTATAACGCAGACTTCTTCTTGCTTTTAATCATATTAACTATTTTGCTGAAAATCTCATTGTAGTACACTTTCTAAGACTTATTATCTTCTTGATTTAAAAAACACATTTGGATATATGTGTATGGTAATATGTGCTTCTGACATTGAAGATTAGATGAAGAAGTTGGAAACACAATTTGGAGAAAAGTGCATTGCTCACACCCCCCTGTAAGTCCCTAAATGAGTTGAAACAATGGTTTATTTGTAAATAAAATTCAGTCTTATTTGGCAGCTTGTTTATTTCAGAACCACCAAACATTTATTACGAAACATTATAACAAAAAAATGAAAGTAACAACTGATAACTCTGGTCATAAGTACTCCTCATAAACTTACTGTTGTCTTGAGGAAATACAGATCAATAGAGTCATCTAACTAAGTTGAGAGTCTTAAAAGTAAAACAATGCTTGCACATAATGCAAAGTTTAATATTCAAAAGGCATTCTAGCAGGTGCTGTCAATTATAGGACGTCTAAGAACACAGGGACCATTCCCAAACTTTCTCGTATAGTACATTAATGGCACTGAGTAGGGTAATATAGATACAGTATGTAATAATTCGACATGGAAGAAGGAGCGAGAGGAAGAAGTAAATTCAGTGAAACATTCAGATTAGATGATGTTTAGCGTCAGCAGTGAGAGGAAAAAGGACAAGGACTTTTTTAGTTCCACTTTCAATTCAATTAATATGCAGGGAACAAATATTCATTGGTATAGACACGAATGGCAAGAGTCATATAATAAAAACAGATAAATGTCATCAGCGTTGGGTGTAACGAATGCCAAAGATGCAATAAGAATAATGTAATGACATTACATTTATCAGTAACGCAGTAATGTAACAGTGCATTACTCTACTAAAATCAGTAATTACATTATGGTTCCAATTGTGCTGTTATTTGCATTTTTTGCAGCTGATTTCAGTTTGTTTGAAGGGACAGGGAAACTAAGAAGTGGTTGACACTTTTTTAAGGGTTAGGGAAATGGACAGTGTTTTTTTTATGGAGTAATGCAAAGGTTGATCTCATAAGTTAGACAAGAGGAAAAAAATGTTTCCTGGACCAGTGTTTTCATTACCTTCTAGCAAATGAAGGCCCTGAATGCCTTGTCCACAGAGTTTAAACGATAAAATTTGACTGCATGGGTTAAAATTTAACTCACTCCAAAATTGCATTACTACTCTTTCCTTGCTTATTTGTTTTTTTTTTTTTAAATTATAATAATGCTATTGCAAAGTTTTGTCAAAGGCAGGATATAGAGCAAAAGTATGTTGTAATAACCAAGAAATGCAATGGCATCCATTCTGAAATTACACCATATTTATTTTATAGCTTCATGGTTCTATTTTCCAGTCTTATTTGTTCCCATATTTAAACTCCTATATCTTATTCATTATCATCTGCTACATCATTGTAATGCATAAACTGTCAATATGATCTAAGTTCAAAAGTGAAAGAAATTCTACAAAGGTGAGTGTGGGCAGGTACAGTGCTTCTTAAATTACTTGACTAGGAAACAGTGCAGCCGTCTTTGTCCTTTATGTCCAGGAGCCCTGGTGAAGTGGGAGATGTAGTTGGGATCTTCTTGAAGTCGTTCAAATCGTCCATGTGGTGAAACTGATACAGAGGGCTGGATGGGTTCCATCAGTTCAGGGTCAGGGTCAGGACCAGGGTCTGAACACCCTGAAATTATAGCATTGAACACAATTAAAGTCAACATTACAGCATTACTGTCACAGGAGTTCGTGTGTGGAACAATTGTAAAGATGAAGTTAAAAAAAAGTACAACGCTACATAACTTCATAAGATTAAAAACAATAAACAGCACGAATATAGAAAATGTGTCCCTCTGTGATGGAGCAGTATAATTGTATTCTAATGAAGCTTGTCTTCATTTATGTTGATCAAGGCGAGAGTAACCCAAGCTGAAAGTATTCATTAAGGTATTTGTTACACTTCATAAACGCATGGCACAACATAGAAGAGCCACCTCCACAGGACAAGACTTGGCTGTCCATCCGCATCTAAAGGATAAAGGACACTCTTTCGAGGATGCCAATGTTGACATTTTGGACAGAGACGACAGATGGTTTGAAAGAGGAGTGAAAGAAGCCATCTATGTCCACTGTGCATGACCATCTTTGAACAGAGGCGGGGGTTTACGACATCAACTTTCTGCCATCTATAATCCAGTTTTGAGATCCCTTCCCAGACGCCTTAACGCCCACTCACATCCTGGGCCATCTGACCTCAGGAAATCACATGATAGGGTGGGGCTAGGTTTCACAATGAGCTCACTCGAAACTCTGGCTGATTGGGACCCACACCCGTTTTAACACCTTGGCTCATGTGATTAGGTAGAGGATCACTAGGTGGTCCATTGTACCTCGTGGGGGGATACTCCCACAGGGCTTAAATCTGGGACTATCCACCATTTGACCTTAGAACTGAAGAAGTTTCTCAGATGAGAGGGGAAACGTCTTCAAGCAACTTAAAGAAATCCAGCCGCTTTTCTTTCCAAGCTCCTTAGAGTATTCGTTACATGGATATAATTTCAAACACAACTCAGTTTAAAAAACAAATATAAAGAGATCATTTTTACAAGGCACATGTATTTAGTGGGGTCTTAATCACAGGGTTTATAGGCCAATGTAAAAATGTAGCTCGTTTTGGTTTGTAAAAGTGTTTTATGAGTGTATTGTATGTGTGTAGACTTGTATATAGTTACGAATGATCATTTTAGTTATATTTACATGTTCAAAATAAAAGTATCAATTAATCAATCAGTCATGAGATTAAAAGGGTTCAATACTTTTGTTAGTTAGTTAGTTTGTTTTCTCTGCCAAAACCATAACATTGCATCAAACTCAGTTTAGGGAGGTAAATGCTAACATGCTGAACTAATGTCAAATAAATAACCATTGTGAGCATATTAGCACATCATCATGGAATTAATCTCAGGCAATAATAAAGCCAATCATACTGAAAAGAATTTGAAACTCAGTCTTTTTAACCACAGGCAGATTGGATTGGGTTATAACTTTCTAATATGTACCTTTTACTGTAATTAGGAGAAAACAGACAAAATAATCAATATTTGGTTTTCAGTCGTTAAACTGATTAGCCTACTTGCTTCAGAAGGCATAGGATAGAGAGCTTTTGCTTATACTGAACTTCAGGCACAACTTAAACGGAGACATTCAAAGCTTAGAAACTCAAGTTTTGCTTTAGGGTACTTAAAAGGTTTTAAAACCATTAGCAGATATTGTTAAAGGGAATTGCAAATGAAATGAAATCAAACCTCACCTGATCTCTGGCAGTCTATATGTTGCATCTGCATGCGGTCCATGCTTGGCCCCGGTTCCTGCAGCTCTTCCTTGTCCAGATCCCAGTCAAGGTCTAGACCTCCAGAGCAGTGCAGAACCTCACCGACCAGCGGACCACCCTGGGCATCACACACCTTCCTATATGCCATTATCTTACCTGAAACACACATGCAAATAATTAAAACTGGTTTTATTTTATATAATAACAAGTTTCAAATGAATAAGAAATGTTTCTGATGCTATAAAAAAAATAAAATTGTTTCATGAAGGAAACATTAAAATCCTCGTACAACCCTGGGTGCAAATGTTTCCATGTTATTTGTTATTGAGATCACAGGACTTTCATTCTTTTGCCTTTTCTTATATTTAATACCACTATGAATGTGAGCTATAAATCACTTGCTTCAGCTGAAACAGAGCATAATAGATCAGCCTTCCTTAAAAGCATCATCTCCTCTCGTTATCTGAAAGTAAAAATAAAAAAGGAAAAAACATATACAATGGTTGCAACAACTTTTAATGACCAAAAAAGTAAGCAGATTCTTAGAGCAGTCCATTTTAGACAATGATAGCATATTGCATATATTGACATACGCAGTGTCTACTGAGACTTATTTGGAAGTAAGCCAGGCAGTGTGCAATGAAAGTCCACCACCTGGGTCGGATTAAAACTGCCTCATTTGACTTAAGGTAATGGATGTTACATTCGTGTGGGACAAAGAATAAAATTTGATAAATGTGGTTAAAAGCTGCTTGGGTTAAGTGACTGACCAGAGCCTCTCAGCACACAATTATGAAGAGTAAAAGCACCACAGGGGGCTGCGATTCATTTATACACATTAAAATGACAGAGAGAAGGCCGGTTACAAGCTGTTAAGGCAAGTTAAGTAGTGGATGTGTGTGTGTGTGTGCAAGTTTGTGTTTATGGATGCAGAATTTGTCGAGACTGTAGGATAGTATACGTGTTGGTTGTGTTTTGGCCAGTAAAACCAACTCTGGGTTCAATACAGCTCCTTAACAGCATCATTAAATCTCAGTGTGGCTGGTATCACATGCATGCATTGACTGCGTGTCTGTTTGTGTATGTGTCTGTGTTATCTGAGTGAAGATCAGGTTTATAAAATCTCCCAGCTAGTGTCTCAGCATGTCATCAAGTTTAACAGTGCTTTTTATACGCTATTCCATCAAAGTCCACCATGAATGGGCAAATGAACTGCCCAATCAATAACCGCTTGTGGTAGGATAAAAAAAAGAGAGAGAGAGAGAGAGAGAGAATAAATAAAGAACAGCACCAGACTGGTTGTCAAACTTACTGGCCCTTATTCTGCATACATTGACCAGTTCATACTTGGCAGCTTATTCAATGCTAACTGGTTCAAAGAAAAACGAAAGAAGAAAGGACACAAAAAGATAATCATGTTGACATGAAAGTTGGTGATGCGGGTTTGAAATAGCAACTAAATTGGTTGCGAATAAGTTACAACTCTTCTCATTACTACAGTCATTTTTGTGTAATTGTACTTATCTTAAGCCTTTTTATACTGTAATGTTACTTGTCCTTAAGTATTCTTTACACTAGGCCATTTAATTTTAAAATTATTATTAGCAATTGAATGGGCTTACAACTGTGGTTACTTTAACCCCCTTTCAAGAGTTGCTCCAGACAAACTTTGGGTGTGGATGTGTCCCAGAAGGGGTTCCACACTCAGCGTTGCTAAACAGTGATGCTGGACCTCTTTCTGTACACAATTTTATCAAGCTGAAGAGAATAAATAAAAAGGGGCAGGAAGTCGGAGTCAGGAAAAAAAAGGAAAAACTATGCACAGAACAAACATCAGAAATGTGCCCGGTGTGAGTCAAAGCCATGCTAAGGATGCAAGATGCTACTCACAGAGATAAAGCCAGATGACATTTGACCTCATCTTAACAAACATCTCAACAAATAAAATATTTTGTATTTATTTTTCAAGTTTTACAATGCAATATACAGATATATACAAGATAAGCCTCTGTGATTGACTGCTATGTTTATCGTCACCAGACATATGACTACATGTATACAGTATAACAGTCAGCATTAACAATGCCAATAATAACTACAAGTAAATCAACAAACATATAAAGAACAGTATATTTTGTGTTTTTTTTCCTTTCTTTGTATTAGCAGAGGCAATTATTGCACTTACCCTAAAAACCAAAATAACAAAAGAACACAACAATTGTTGGTTATACTAATGATTGTGATTTTATCGTTTTATAGCTCAGAGGAGCTGTGAATCGATTACAGATCTGAATTGTCCCTGTTTAGACACTGCATCGGTTTCTTTTTTAGTGATTACAAAGGGGGATTTAGATAGAGAGGAGACATGTGAGTGTGACAATTATATGAAGAGTTTTAGAGAAGAGAGAAGACGGATACAGTGAAAATGGTACAAAAGCAGTGGCAGAGATACAAAGAAACATAGTTGAAAACAGGAAGCAAGGAAAGAACAGAGTGTTTATAGATGAATAAGAGAGAGTAAAAAGCAGAGGAAAGAGGTCTGGGAGTTCCTTGGCATCAATCTTCAATGCTCTACCACACTTTCATTACTTCTAGCTCAATGCAGATGAAGGCTCCTCTCAGTAAAATGGAACAAAAGTTCATTTAACTGCTGACCTTCTGTTACAGCCTTACACACAATGCAGTGGCTTTCACTTGATACCTATCACTGCAGGAGTTATAAGATTCCCTCTCTTTTTTATCTTTTTTTGTACATGTAATTTAACTTGTTGCATTTTTCATATCGATTTTTCATGTGACATCCACAGATTTAAAATATATATGTATATACATATATATTCGCACAACACAATATTGATCATGTTACTGAAAGTGTATGTTAAAAGATGTTCAGTATATCTTAAGTTTCCATATATGTACTTCAGACTGAATTCCATGGACAGAAAAGACGTGTGGAGTCCCACTTCCACCAGGGCGACACACGGAGTATGTGGCACGGACTACGCACCATTACGGACTACAAAGCCAGGGACACTGCGCTGATCAACGCTGACTCTGCATTCACCAACGAGCTGAATCAGTTCTACGCCCGTTTCAAGGTTAGCCAGGCGGCTAATGCTATCTACCGCCTGACTACCGAGGACAGTGACGTCATCAGCGAGAGACCGGTGACCAGCATCGCGGAGCATGACGTCCGAGCGGCACTGAGGAGAGTGAACACAAGGAAAGCGGCGGGGCCAGACGGCATCGCCGGCCGTCTGCTGCGCTGCTGTGCTGACCAGCTAGCAGGTGTGTTCACTTACATCTTCAACGAGTCCCTGGCGAAGTCTGTGGTCCCCACATGCTTCAAAAGATCCACCATCATCCCTGTGCCCAAGAACAGCAAACCCTCATCCCTGAACGATTACCGGCCAGTTGCACTGACCTCGGTAGTAATGAAGGTGTTTGAGAGGCTGCTGAAGAACATCATCTCCTCCTCCATCCCAGACACCACAGATCCGCTGCAGTTCGCCTACAGATCCAACAGATCCACAGAGGATGCCATCGCCCACGTCCTACACACCACTCTCAGCCATGTGGACAAGAAACAGGGTAACTATGTGCGAATGCTGTTTGTTGATTACAGTTCAGCGTTTAACACAATAGTGCCCTGCAGACTGTTCACAAAGCTGAGGGATCTGGGACTTAACAGCCGTCTGTGTGCATGGGTGTTGGACTTCCTCACTGGCAGAACTCAGGTGGTGAGGGTGGGCAGGTGCTTCTCCAACAGCATCACCATCAACACAGGAGCACCTCAGGGATGTGTCCTCTCGCCACTGCTCTACTCCCTCTACACTTCAGACTGTGTGGCCACCCATGGCTCCAACACCATTGTGAAGTTTGCTGACGACACAGTGGTGTTGGGTGCCATCTCCAACAACGATGAGACGGCCTACATGGATGAAGTGAAGAATCTGGCATCGTGGTGCCAGGACAACCACCTCCAGCTGAACGTCAGCAAGACCAAGGAGCTGGTGGTGGACTTCAGAAGGGGTCAGCACAGAGACTACAAACCCATTATCATCAATGGAGCTCCAGTGGAGAGGGTGCAATCCTTCAAGTATCTTGGTGTCCACATCTCCTCAGACCTGACATGGGCTGCCCACATTCAGGTCCAGACCAAAAAGGCTAGGCAGCGCCTGTATCACCTACGACAACTGAGGAAGTTCAGGGTCTCTCCAAAGATCCTCAGGATTTTCTATACAGGCGCTGTGGAGAGCATCCTCACACAGAACATGACATCGTGGTTTGGGACAGCTGTGTGAAGGACCAAAAAGCTCTCCAGAGAGTGATCCGTACAGCAGAACGCTGCTGCAGGATTGCTCTCCCCCCGCTTCAGGACACCTACACCAGGAGATGCCGGACTAGAGCAGCGCAGATACTGAAGGACCCGTCCCATCCTGGCAACAAACTGTTCCAACTTCTGCAATCTGGTAGAAGGTTCTGCATCATCCGGGCAAGGACAGAGAGACTCAAGAGGAGCTTCTATCCCCAAGCCATCCGTGCCCTAAACACACACACCCGCCCTCTCACATCATCTATAACTGACTGAGACAGGACTCTCTTCCAGACACTAAACCAAGGCACAATGTACATTTCAATTCCTTTAATTTTAAATATGTTTATATTGTCTATCCTGTAAAATAGTCAGATGTCTATTCTTATTAATGTACAGAATTCACCTGCTTGCTGCTACTACTGCACATTCACCCAATGTATATACTACATATATATATATATATATATATATATATATATATATATATATATATATATATATATAATGTTTCTCCTCTACACCCCCCCCAATTTTTTTGCACATGTCGAGGAGCGTGTCAGGCTACATTTCACTGTGTGTTATACTTGTATAACTATGCATGTGACAAATAAAGAACCTTGAACCTTGACAAAAAGTATAAATAAATGGACAAATAACCATCTATTTTTACTATCTTTCTATTGACATTAGGAAAAGCAAAAATCTGGATAACTTTACCAGCATCATTGACATCACAAATTGATGTTGATTGATTGTTGCTGTTCATGTCAATTATTGAGTGATTTTCAACTTTTCCTGTACATCTTAATCCAAAATTGTATTAAACATGGTGTCACTTAATTTAGCATTAATTTGGCAATTTGGTTCACTCCTCCCAGTATTTGTCTTAAAATAAAATTTTTGATTTACTGAAGGCTTCTTGATTTCTCTAATCCACACAAAGACACATTGGTTTTTTTCTGTTAATTTTATTCTTAGAAATGTGCAATGCTAACCACTGCTGTCTTTAAAGTTCCTGAAAGTTAAAATAAGAAATCCTGACAAACTGTAATACCAATAATCCCTTAAATACATAATATGCCTGTTAATAAAAGTAACCATTTAATTAAACTGACATTCTAATTTAATTTCCAATTATCAACATTAATCAAAAGTAGTTGAATAAAACACGATTACATTAATCACCATTATTCCAGTGGAGTTTTAAGTACACAATCAGCAAACTGTTGGTGTCACACCTGAGCAAACCACAAAAATCTCAAAATCAAGATAACTATTGCTCTTCGTCCAACACCCACTCCACTCTTTGTCAGTTCGAGTTAGATGCCGTCTCCCAGCTGTAACCAAAACTACATCACCACACTTTAAAGCTCTTTTTCAATAAATGATGTAGCGAGGAGGCAACTTTTGCCCGTGGGTTTGCCTGAACATGTCACAGAATTTTTAAGGCTCGTTATGCTTTCAGAAGTAAAACAAAATGTTGCTCTTTGAGCTCACGGCTTCATTTCGAAGTGTAACAACACTTGACAGTGCCAGTGTATTGCCATCTGTATGCCTTTTCTGACTTGATCTTAATTGAGGTGACAGACACATCATTTCAGAGGATGTAGGCATAGCAGCTACATTTCTCTAACAAATTAAAAGCATTTGTGCAGTAAAACGTTCATATAAAATTCAAAGCATATAGGAAAAGTGCAGCATTCAACTATCGACACTAACTTCATACATTTATCATTTATTTATAATCGTCATTATATCAGACCTTTACATTAAATTGTACTTTTAGAAACCAACAATAATTTCAGTGATAATCTGCAGTTAAATTTGAGAAAAAAATAATCCAATTAGAGATTGACATTAAGAAAATGTAACTTAGGAAGGATCATAAGCTACGCTTTTTGCTGAGCAATGACTTGAGTGCAATATCTATGACACATCAGCATTTAAATGGAAAAACTTCTCAAACTCAGTTTTATTCAATGGAATTGAAGTTCATGGAGGAAAAATAAATCTCTGAACGTTTTGCTGGATATGAATTTGATGCAAGTTTGCAATGTTTAGCTGTACATTACTAGCTGTAGACAAGGTTTATTGTTCTGCTTACAACTAGGCTAACTTACTTTAAAAGCTGCTGTGACTGACTAGCATTAACAAGTTCCTTGGTTACAGTGTTGTGTATAATATCTAGCCCCTCATTTTATCGTTTGTTTTTTCATATTTTAGGAATTTATTTAAAATTTTCACTAGTGCTAGTTTCACTGCTAGTTTCAATTGTGTGTTGTTTATATTATATAATTTACATTGGTGAAGTAGAAGTAGTAGATGTCTTATTAGATCGATTTTATAGCAACATATTTTAGGCAAATATGCTAAGACATAAAAAAACATGTTGAGCAGCCATAGTGAGGGAGAAAACTGCCCAAAACAATTACGTAGTTTGTTCAATGAGTCTTAAATGGCTCTATTATGTGCAATTACAATTCAAAGTAGGCTTTTTAATAGCAATCAATTTCAGAGTCAAACCAAGAACTAATTTTGCATAGCAAATGAAACGCCTGATGCAAAAGCTACTCTTTGACCTTCAGAGAGAGCGCTCCATAATCAGACAGATCTGTTGCTTTGAAGAGGTGTAGAACAATAGCACTGGTATGCTGGGACAAAGACCCTCATCAAATTGTTCTTCTGATATGAAATACTTGCACAGGTATTTGTGTAAGATTACTATTTATATAGCAGGACAAATGCAGGCTTGAGGAACAAAGTTGTCATTCATCTTTTGTCTTTCAGCTCTAAGCAGATTGACAGGCCATCTGCTGTATCTGCTACCTTTCACTACTATTCGCCTCTCATTCATAAATTACTGCATCGCCAGTTTGCTCTAGACACAGCTGAATACACTTAGTGTGATCAGGGCAGAGACAAAGAGTGAGAGAGAAAGAAAGAATATTTTCCCAAACACTTCTCCTCACCAATCATTTCATTTGACACGACCTTGTCAGCTGCCGTACTTACAGAGCAGGAAGTATGCTGTCAATCATGGATTTCCTTCTCCCTGCCACAGAGAAGCACAGACCACAAATTATTCATTTTTTTCACATAAATCATGCATTAAAAAACCTCAAATTTGCCATTCACTGTATACTTTCAGATCCACGAATACTGTACAATACACACAAATTATAAAATCATTTCCACCCTGATGCGTGTCCCAGTAGTATTCTAGGTTAATGCAAGAAAGGGTAAGACCACCGGGGACAAATAAGAAGAGCAAACAGCAGTGTAATGGAATAATCAAGCATCTCCATTAAGTTCACATTCTGTGGTGGTTGGTAGCAAATGAGGTCCTTGCATGAGTGGGAGTGCTAAAATGCAGGCTTATTTGCTAACAGATACATGGGACTGTCTGGTTTAAGTCAGTATTTAGGAAAAAAATAACAATCTTTTTTTTTTTTTTTTTTTTGGCACGATGGCATTTTACTTCATGCCATGCATTTTCCTTAACTTTGGAAGCATAAGTGAAAGGAGCCTTTAATGTCCCAATGTAAACCTTTTACACTCTAAACTTCTAACAAGGGTTGTATTCGGTTATATTCTCAATGTGCAACATATCCCCATTCTAATGGGTCATCTATTATTTATCCATATCATTGTGGATTTCGTACAGCTTTAAGGTTAAAACTCATGTCACAGCTTGCAAAGCAAAATACAGCCACATCCTTACAAACTCCAGATAATATTGCTGATATAATTTTTCACACTTATGTGACTCAAGGTTTAGGGAGAGAATACTGTTAATATAATTTAATCTGACCATGAATTCTACAAAGTGCATCAGTATAATACGCAATGAATTCAATGTTCAACATTAACCCTCTTCTGCAGAGCATTGGCCTTTGGCAACAGAAATTTTCTTAAGCCAAATGTCTAGTTAATGCTTTTAGAAATGATTAAAACAAAACAAAATTGGTCAAGCAGCATTTGAAAAAAGCACGTTTTTGATACTTGTCACAGGAGGACATGCTGTAAGATGAAGGGAAGATTATTTGCCTTAAAAATGTATTAAAATGATATGACATAAACTATAAAATAAAACAATGTGATCTGTTTGTGTGTGTGTGCAAGGTCTGTGTAGAGACTGTCCCATTTAAGTTTTCTTCATTTTGTCTGTTTAGAATTGTGTTTTTTTCTGCCTTCTCAGGGCAACACTGTTTGGCAATGGTGACTTTTTAAGCATACCCACAAATGTGTTTAAATATATTTGCATTTTTATTTACTTCACTGCTTTAAACATTTTGAGTCAAAAATAGGCACGACATTAAGATAGACAACAATGACAGTGAAGGGAAGTAAAGTGGAGAGAACAGTTTGAGAAGATGTGAAAAATAGTATTTTAAAAATTGCCTGTCTAGTTGATATAAATTCATTTACACATAACTAAATCAAATGCGTAAATAATTTTTTCTGACATATTTATGCCATCCGAGTAGACTTACAGAGCATAAAGCATACAAAACAGGAGTATATTGCTATGCTGTAGTCAGTCTTGCTGTGTTTTCTTAAACACACACACACACGAGAGTAGCTTAGCTGTACGTTGGACAGAGACCTTTGATGTTACACCTCAAATTTGTTGGAGCAACTCTTCCAATTTTTGAGGTTACAACTCCTAATGGTCCTATTACTACTGTGACCACTTTTGACTGGCCCTTCATGCTACCCAAGCGCAACTTGGAACATGAGTAAGAGATACATATCTAAAGCCATACTGGCTCAGGCAACACCCAGCATTGGCACTAAGCAACCAGGATGTATTAATGAGAAGATTACTGGAACAAGGCATATATATATCTCTATTTGGTGAGCTGTCATTATGGGGAGGCCCAGGTCACACCAGGTTTACTGCAGGGTTTTTTATATCACGGACTGTCTTATGTTTTGGTACCATATGTACTAGACTGTATTATACCATATGATTTTCCAGTAGATAACTATACACCTTTTCTTTTAATTTGCAGAGACTTATGAATTCAGAAGTTGGTACCAGCTTCTATCTCAATTTTCCCCCAAGTTGTGGCAAGTGTTGGGGGAGATTCTGTAACATTCAAACTGGAAAATACTTTAAGGAATGAAATGACAGTACACCATTATAGATACTAACAGAAATAGTTAATTACACAATTAGTAAGATGTTTTGCTACGGTTAAAAGACTTTCAGATTAACAGCTATGACAGGATCCAATGCCAAAACTGATGTGCTACATATAAATTGGAATATGGGCTTGTTAAGAAAGTCTTGAAACTTGGTTTATATTCGATAGGATCTTTCTAAGATTAAGAAGTGTAACTGCTTCTTTTATTTTAGCCAGCTATGCTAGCTTGGTACCACACAAAGTCTAGCCTTCATGTGTCTGTCTTATCTCTGCAGAGTAAAAAAAATCAACACGAAGCATATTGGAATCCATTTAGCAGCACAGCCAAAGGTAGACTTCATTTCTGCATAAAATATATCCTGGGTCTCGCATGCCGGTATCCATCCATAACCACAGCATTAACATCTGCACGGTGCCATGTAGCTGTGAGAGTTTGTTACAGGCTGCAGGGCCATCAGAGAAAAACCTTTATTTTTATAGTGTTCATGAATTAAAGATGGCTTCCCCTGGGGTGTTGGAGGAGAGCAGAGGCTTTATGGATCCCTCACTCTCTCCTCCGCATTAAATCTCCTGAATACCACAGGCCATGTCTCACGATGTTAGACACGGAAAACAATAACAGCCAAACATTCTTATCTGGTAGGGTGTTTTTGTATTTCTTCCTCTCAATACCATTTTTCTTTCTTGTTTTCTCTCTTGGTTCTCTTGGATGCTGTTAAGCCAGTCCATTAAAAACTGCATTACCCACAAGTCAACAGGTTATGTAGCCCATTACAGCTGAAGGTCAAGTTTTCTTGTTCCGTGGTGGGTGGATTTTGGAAAACAGAACAGTCAGATATTTAATGGAAAAGTATCGCAGGCAAACACTGAATAACATTTTACATTTCAGATATCAGCAGTCCATCGCTATGTTTTTTGTGATGACCACAAATGTAAAGACTTAATTTAACAACAAAAAAGAAGCAAATAATAAATATTATTCTATGAATATCTAAAATTTGTCAGCATTGAAATGTGTTTATGTGAGGTTAAATTGTTAGTATTTTTATAGAAATTGGGAAAGAAGACTATCGAAAAACAGACTAGTGTAAAGCCCTTGTCCAAATTACAGTTAGGTAATGAGTGGAACAGCAATAGAACACTAAGCTTGTTGAGAATGCGATTGAAAATTGAAAATTACATTTTAAATAAATTATACTTAAGATCAGAATAAAGATTATTATGTAAATGGATCTAGACTCCACATCCCACTGAGGTTAGAGTCACATACAGATAGGAAGTAAGTATTTTGACATTTACATATTTATTTATTTATTTATTTATTTTAAATATGAAAAAAAGATCTGACTGAAGGAAAAAAAACTTTCAACTTTAATTTAATTGGTTTAAAAAGTACTGCATTTCGCATGACTGTAATTAAAGGTTTACAACAAGGTGCAAACCACTGGTTGCACACAATAACAGTCAAGATGAGCCTTTATCAAAACATCTAAAGCGCATTCCTAGTTATGAAAGTTACCTCAAGGTGCTTTATATTGTACGGTAAAGACTTTTCAATATTAGAAAGAAACCCCAACAATCATATGGGAACATATAGCTGCCATTGGGACTGTGTCACTTGTGTTTATTGATTTGACTGCTGATAAAAGCAGTCAAATCAATAGTATAAACTGAATATAAATATATATTAACTTGAAAATAGATATAAACTGAAGTATGCAGGACTACACTCTCTGCTGAGATTCATCCAAATGCTACAAAACTAACTCACAGTGCAAATGTGTAACTGTAACACTTTGCACTGTTTGTTAAACCCTTGAATTAAAGCTAAAAGCTAAAGGTATCCAATTCAGTCATATCTTTGCTGTCCAAAACTGCAAAAACTGTGTTGTTGTTCAAATATTTATGGACCTAGCAGTTTATACTATAACGGATTCAGCTGAGTCTCAGGAAGGAGCCCGTACTGCTACTGACTAATTCTTGATTCTTCTTTAATTCTTTTAAGCTAATACAAAGACGAGCACAGACACTACCAGTTCTAGAGTTCTAAATGTAACAAACATCTGGCACTTGTGATCGCTGTGGGGAGCACTACAGGAGTGAAATGAAATCAACTGCCTGTAAACACCAGAACAGAACAGCAGATGAGTTGTAAAGGGACCAAAAGGAGTTCAGTGACTGACATTGGACAACAAACAGTGACAAGGATCTATTGCTCATATACTTGATCTTGCTTTCAGTGTTATATGAGAATATATAAGCAGCAGAAACCTATATTTTGTGGTACATAAAAACAGAGGCCTTAATTAAAACTTTTTTACTTTTCGCTCCCTTTCTACTCTGAATTGTTATTTACAGACTTTTGAACTCAACTTACCTAATGCACTTATTTCAGCAGTGCACTCACATAATGAGAATTCTACAGTTCCTGCTGTATTTTCAGCTGCTCATCACTGGATCCATGCTCAGCAAGAGAAAACATCGGCAGCATTTAAATAGGACACATTTTAGTCCATCTTTGTCTTAAAAATGTAAAACTGGTGACAGTCATCTGAAGTGTCTTCATGAATTACTGACTGTGAATACGTAAAATCCCCAAGGGACTAGTTAGAGTGAAGCTATTAAAACTTTTGTAAATCTAATTAAGTTCTTTGAAGAAGTATTGTATGTCTTGGTTTCAACATAGATTTGACACTTGATGTCTCATATACTACAATGATCCAATCCAAAAATATAATCCCGACTTTATTCTTGAGACTTTCTATCTGTTGAGCAAATAAACTGAAATTTTGATAACACCGATCATTTCAATGCAATGCAGTCATCTGCTGGCTAATCTTGGTTTTAGGCGTTTATGTTTTTGTGACTTTGATAACTACCACTTGTGCGAAATTTGTCATGA